AATGAGATGTGATTTCTGTGCGTATAACTTGTTCAGAATTGTTGCTTGTAGCAGCCACTGCCATGTGGATTACATCCTGTAAGTTAAACATACTCATAATTACTCTCTGACACCGGAATTAGTGCAGAATGTTGCACATGCACTGTGTCAAACTCTTTTACTCTCTGGAAATGTTTGTAGTCCATATTAAATTGCTTGGTAGAAATGATCTTTGACTTTTATTTACAAGCCACCTGTACTAAGAAAATGCTGGCCAAAATTCAAACTAAGATGTGAACTATTCTAAGAGTTAACAATTTAACTCTGACTGCAGAGAACAGACTTTGTGAAAGCAGCACCTGGAAAATGAGATCATCTGATCAAACACAGGCATCTGTGGTGCAGATCTCTCCATCTGAGTTAGATGTTTAGACTGTCTTTCTAATCAGTGGAGAGAAATAGGCTCATCTAGAGGGATGATTCACTTCATCATAAAGCAGACACTTAACATTTTCAGATTAATTGTTCTGTGCAAGTGCCTATTTTTCTCTCTTCACCATTAAAAAATCCAGGAAGACAAATATACACATCTCTTTTGTAAATATTTAAAGATAAAACAAATGAATTCCAGAATAAATGCATGAACTGTGCTGACTGAATCTGTGTCTTTATGCCTCCACAGGTCTTTCCATGATTTAAATTCAGAAGTTGTAAAACTCAGACTAATAGAGGACAAGAATTGATTTCCATGCATCTGAGGAGAAAGTTATTTCATAGATCCCTCTTGGTTTAATATCCACGATAAGTCTATGAACTTTTGATTCTGCATTGGAAAACCACAATTTAACTATATGCCTATTTTAAAGAAACTGTTTGTTGCCATTTTAGAGGCTTATTTTAAGCTGCTGACTTTTATTTTTTCATAAATAATTAAGGAATGGAAAATAGATGCAGTAATTTTATATTCATGGAGAAGAAAGGAATCAAATACTTTACAGTCCCTGTAATTTTAGAATCAGAGTAAAAAGGTAAGAAGATAGTTTTCATGCAAGAGATAGTGTCTTTTCAAACTGTCCAAGGTTACACTTGTTACAAGCATAAAACAGCCCAAAATATACACATTAAAGCCAAAGTCACCCATAAATCAAGATTTTAAGTGAATAGTGGCTGCAGGAATGAACTGTGAATGAGTCAGACAAACACCACAATGAGTCCAGCATGCTTTAAATCACTTAAAACTAATCAATATATTTCTGTTATCAAAAAGAAAAACAAAAAACCACAGAAAAAAAACCCCTTTGATAATAATTTTGTGGTTTAACTACTAAATGAAGCAATTGATTCCTCATTCTTTCAAAGGTTTCCATTGTGAAGCTTGAGTGGCAGTTTTCAAGCAGATCTCTTGTCACTCTGTCCAACATGAATAATATTTATTAATAATTTTATTTTTATTTGTCAACAGAAACAATAATCTGACATTTTGCTGTGAGTGCATAGATAAGCTTGAACTAGAATATACCTTTTTAAATTACAAAATTAAAAATATCTGACAAAATTAAAATATTCCAAATTGAGTACTTAGTTCAATTTTCTACAGGACTTCCTTATTTCTTACTTCTCTCAAAATGGAAGATCAGATGAGGATGAGGAAGGTATATCATGGCTGAAATACCAGAAGACAAATTCTAGATTTAGATATTTAGTTTGTAATTTTTATGATCTCCCCAGACGAATAGTCACCTATTTAAATATAAGGAACAATGGAAATCTGACATTCTTCAAGTTGAGATAATGGAAATTCTTTTTCCTGATTACAGTGCTTTCCTTAGTCATAGTGATATTGTAGGTTAAAGACTCTATTTTAATTTACTCACTAAGAAGGCAGTGATTTTGGCTCAATGTGTTCTAAAGCACATTTCTTTCAGATCTTTGATAGCATATTTCTCATATCTTCAACTTCTAATTTCTTGTTTCATGATACAAGTATGAAAGATATACATGTATAAATATATTAAATGCTGATGTATAAATACATATAAATACATAAAACAGGAAACAGTCATTCACATTTCTTTCAGATTTTCACATTATATATTAACACTTATTTTGTCTTCCTTCAGAGATTTTCGGTATAAATACTGTTAGTTGTGAGCATGACAAAGGAAAGCAGCTATGTTATCTAAAGGAATATTAATGATGACTCATCTGCTGAAAACTCCTGTAAAGAGGTCTGAGACGTTACATGTTTGTTCACTGAAGTTTAGCAGGATGAGCTACGCTTCTAATAAATGCATGTCAATTAATCAACTGACATATAAATTGCCAGGGACTTTCAGTTTTTCTTCAGTTTTTACTGACTTTGGATGGACTTCTGTGCCTAAAAATTATCATTTCACCCACATTTGCTTGGATAAAGATTTCAGAATAAAATTTCAGAACCTAGTTTGTTTGCATAAAGTTTGCATATTACCGAACATATTTTCACGAAGGTGGCACAGCCTATGTTATTATGGATGTCAACTTTCTCTCTTCTCCGAGTTATCTAAAAAATTTCCAGTCTGAATGAGGAAAATTGTATTCCAAAGAACTACTGCTTTATTTCCTTTTACTCTTTAGTAATGGTTTCACAGTTTATTACAGCAATTTGAGTGCTTTACATATACCAAGCATAGAGTCCTCCCTATTACTTCTCACATGTGGATTGAAAAAGATGAAGAGAAAGAAGCAAGAAATTTTCTCTCTTAACAGAAGTTATTCCACATTAGATGCCCTTAGCTGAATCTAATGATCATGCAATTATTTTATTTATTGTGAATAAAAATACATTTAAGTTTTTTTAGTCATCCATGCAGTGAAGGAAGGAGAAATCTGCAATTTCCATTGATATATAAATAAATTATAACTTACTAGTTTAATTTGCATAAAAGGAGTTATATTTGTAAGAATCAAATTAATTGTACTAGGATTCTTATTGTAAAATATTTCATGTTACCAACATAGAAGTGGTACTTTCTAAGTTGATATATTAATATTTTATAAGAATGTAAATAAACCTCCTCCCACATGAGCTTCTATTCAAACAATTGACATTCAGCCAATCAGAAATTCTGTGAGTAGAGACTGAGCAGAGCTGGATGGCTTTCCACACATTTTTAAACAAGTAGCTAATCTCTTAGTTCTGCAAAATTTTGCATTATAAGCATAATGCCAAAAATAATGATGTGCCATCTCAGACCTTAATTGTCCTTATTCCACTAGCAAAGCAAGACCTTTGCATATTGCAGTAGGCATACAAGATTCAGGTAAGGATGGAGGAGATATGCAAACATTGCGAAATTTCTAGGTTACATCAATTGTATTTTAAAGTTTTTCTCTTAAAGTCATAGAGAATTACCACATACATGTCTTCTAAGTCTTCCTGAACTTTCCTGTAGAAGAACCTCCTCAGAAAGTTTAGCATTTTGACTTCTTTGTTTTTCTTCCCAGGGGTGTAGTATTTGTTCTTTCACTATAAAACACTATTTAATTTAATAAAAGAGAAATGACATATTGAAAAAGGCCTATGTGACAAATAAGAAATCATGTTTTAATAATACAATATTAGCAGAGGCATCTATCTTAGTACTTCATTTACTCTCATCATTCCAGTATCTGAAGTTAGGACTTTTGTGTATGTTTCTCTTTATCATAATACTCTAAACAAGTATAAATTATTTTTATTAATGCTACTACTTTTCAAAAAAATGCTGTGTTTTTGGAGTAGAGAATTGAATCATCACTCTAAGAAATTTCATAGTATTGCCTAATATCACACTACGAATCATATTCTAACTTTAAACTGTTTAATTCTGGTTTTAAGGTCTTTTACAGGTAAATTCAGAGGCAGATGTTTGCTTGTTTCTTGACTTTTTTGATTGTGGGTAGGCTAGATGGTTTTCAAATGCAATATTCTTCTAACAGCCTCTTCTATTATGGTTTAAGTGAAAAATGCTTATGTTCCATTATTATCATAAGCCACTGGAGGTGTGAGTCAACATACAGGGAAAGATATGACAACAAAACACAGATCAGATTATTTAATTATGCTTTCTGTTTATAAAATATAAATTAAAGTGTTCAGTGAGGCTACACCAATTTAGGCTGGTAGTAGAGGAAGTGTGACTTAGCAAATAGCCATGTTAAATGAAAATTTAGTTACATTCAGTTAGAGCACTACAGAGCTAGACAACTAGGTGTTGATGTAACTGATTTATAAATTTAAAAGGTGGTTTCAGATATTAATCCGACATTTGTTAACTTTGGGGAAAGTCTTTTCTTTTTTTTCTAAAATAAAATATTATGTATTGCTACTATTTTAGTGTACCCTATATCACAATAATGAATTTCTGGTGTCTTTTTTTCTATCCGTCAGTCTTTTCATTACCTGTTTTTATCAGGAAATATTCTATTTTTAATGAATGAGTTTTTAGATGTTCCAGTCCTCTGAGAACAAAAATGACAAGATAATTACTGAGAGAAAATGCTCAGGGTATGTCTAAGCTTTTAAGCAAAAAGAGGATAGAAAGTAAAATAACCCACTCTGCTGAACCAGATGTTTGTTACAGCAAATCTTTGTTAGAATCTGACTCTGTTGGAAAGAGAGTATCATTTGTTAGACAGAGTTGCATTCTTAAGAACAGTTCCCAAGATGGTCAAAAAGACAGCCATCAAAAAAATAAAAAAACAAACCAAAAACCAAAACCACCACAAAAAAAAGAAAACAAACACAAAAACAAAAACAAAAAAAAAGAAACCAAACACCAAAATTATGCTAATGGAAAAGTTTTTTGATTTCTTCCAAAGATGAAATATTTCAATATTATTTCTGTCAGATTAGAAAAATAATACTTCAATATGCAAAGTGGGCACTGAGATTTTGTGGTAATAAAAGTTTTCTTACTTTCTGTATAATAAATATTAAATTTTAGACACATTAAAAGTCAAAATTCTATAGCTGTCTGAAATACAGACAAGACCTGAAGAGTTGTATGACAGCTAATAAATAATTTCTCTCTATTGTTTATAAGCATTTTAGTGGGAAATATAAATTAAGCAGAATTGCCCTACATTCTTTCATCTTAACTGATGTACTTTCTGGGTATAATTTTTGACATTTTTCTTAGTTGCAATATTTTTATACTTTTTAAGGAAAATGACCCAGTTTTGTAACAATATGCTTGCAAAGCCTGAACAGTGTGAAGAATAGTATTTCATGTGTGAATATGCATGTTTTGATTTCACTGTTATTTAAGATGGATATCTCTTCAGTTTATGGTTCCTGCAGTTTAGGTTCATTTTACCATGGTCTTTCTTGAGAGTCTCATGAAAAATTTTAACAGGAGAAAAAGCGTTGGAGTATTTTCCTTTTTTCCTGCTTCCTCTATTTGATTTTGCTAATTCACTAATATTTGTGGTTTTAATTCTGGAAAGTTTTGCATTTTTTTCTTTCTTTTTTTTTTTAAGGTCAACTATTGCTTGATTTGCTCTGCCTAATCAAACTTTTGGGTTTGATGGGGGGGTGGAGGGAATTATCTTTTTAGCTATTAAAATGCTTTATGAAATGTGGAGATTGAAGACTGCAAGGAAACTGTAAACTAGTCTGTTTAGTCACATTATGGATTCCACATCTGAAAGTCTGGCTTATCTGGAAACAGCTCTTTTTAACTTTTTCTTCTGAGAGGAATATTGTGCTGGTTTGAACATCAGAGAGAAATTAAACTCCAAATAAGCCACTCCCCTTCCTCCCACCCTTTCTGGTAAGGGAGTGACAGCAGCAGAGAATGTGGGCTGAGAAAAAAAAAACTCTGAAAACAGAAAGAAATGGAATAGGATAGGCACAAGAAAAGTAATATCAATTGGAAAGAGAGGGTATTTTACTCACAAAAAGGTGTTCACCACCCATGAGGAACAAAAAGAAGATGGCAGATGCTCCCCATAGGTTGCATCTGCATGACTTCCCCTGACTGAGGCAATATGGCGACTGTTCCCACACACCACACCAAATAGCCACTGAGAGCAAAGATAAGATGGTTGGGGAGCTCTTCAACTAATGTTTCCCAGACCCCCACCCCAAGCCCAAAAAATGACAAGCAATAAATAAGAACTTCCCGGAAAGCTGGGTCATTTGAGTCAGGTTGTGCTACTGGTCCTCTGGGGCTCATTTCTGTGCCTTTTCCACCAGCCTCCTGTGCTGGAGATAGGTCCCGCAAGTCACTGTTGCTTTTCCAACCATTCTCCTGTGCTCCTTTCAGCTTGGCTTGGCTGGACCAGGCTCAGCTTCGCCACTGTCACCTTGGCTCTTGCCCCTTTGCGTGGGTTGAGGTCGCGCCTGCCAGTCGTTTGCCCACAGCAGCCTCCACACCACTGCTGTTGGTTCAGCACTGCTGTTGATTCCTATTTTTGCCACCGTCCTTTCAGTGCTATGTCCTGTAGCTGTATTCCAGAGAAAACCGGAGGAGGTGACATTTGAGGACGGGGACGTTCCCTGCTGTAGAGAAGGGAAGCAAAATGCTGCACTTCTGGTTGGGAGCTCAGCTTTTCCTCCCAGAACCACATCCCTTAACTGATGATGTGCACAGCATAGAATAACAACTTAGCCACACTCACACTGCGCTAAGCTTCCCCCCCCCCCCCCCCTTCCATCAGGACAAAGATATACATGAGAATCAAAATTACCTTCCCCTCCCATGGAGAATTCTGATGTTTTATATGGATGTTGCATTAGAATTATGCATAAAGTGATATATGGTTCACTAGTTCAACCTGTAAGCATAGATACCTCAGTCACAAGTCTCAGATAATGAGATGATGTAATCGAGTGACAATGTTAATACATTGTGTCAACCCTCTGAAATTACTCTGCGGGAGTTAAAAGCTACCAGGAGTTCAAAGCTTTCTGTGATGACTGTTCCGGCAGCTGTTAGGTTCCAAGTAAAATCAATTTTACCTCTTAATAAAGAGCATGTAACCCATATCAAAACTTGGGTTGTTTTTTTTTTTTAGATAATGTGACTGGTTACTACCTGAAGTGGCCTCTAATGGATGTTACTGTTGTAGCTATTCTTATATCTTACAGAATGAAGGAAAATAAAATAGAACATAGGACATATCTGGGTGGTTGTTTCTTCTCAAGACAGTAGAAGAAAAGGTAATTAGCAGTGTCTGAAGGAAAAGTGTCTGTAGGAACACTTTTCATCTTGACTGGAGCACCTCTTTTGACTGTGTCCTGATTGCATAGCGATATGTGAGCAGGTGCACACTGCCTACCTCCTTCTACTTCATGGATGACATCCATTAAGGGAAGAAGAGAGTGCTCACCTGTTCTCAGGATGGGAGCAGCCTGTGCCAAAAGATCGGCTGCTCTGAGTGGTATCAATGAACAATGCATGCATGCCAGAGAATGTTTCTGTCCTTCAGCTTAGATGTAACCTTTTCCTACTAAAACAAAGTCTGACAAGAAAACTTGTATGAAGAAATGAAGTAGAAAAAAATGTCATTCAACTCAAAGATTTAGTAAAAATAGAAAAAAATCCTTATTGTCATTCCTCACCTAAAAATCTCAGCTGATGAAGAAAGAAATGTTTTTTATAAAAATCCATAATGGATTAAATCAAAACAAAATTAATACAGAATATTATCCAATGTCTTTATAATAAGGAAATATAAGAGAACTTTATATGTGAGAGTTAGAGAATGGATTACAGAACAGACCAATAAATAAACTTCAGAAATGGTGTAAAAAATTAATTCTTCTTAAACGATAATATTTAAAAAGGGCAGAGTTATAATTCATAAAATCTTGCTAAATGAAGCCAAAATATATTTATGAACCTGTGTTTTGTGGAGTATTTTCAATGGCTGTGGGAAATTAAAATAGACTCATATTATTTGGAAGAAAAATATAACAAAGAAGAAGAAGACAATGTGAGGAAAAATAATTTAAGTTTATCTTAGAGGAGGAAATAAAAGCGTTATAGAGGATTAGACAAATTAGTTAATGAGAAAACAAATAGTGTGCCATCAATTCTTTCACAAGACTCCAGTACCAAAGGTTTTGTTTTGTGGCTGTCAGTTTCAACAGATTTTCCAATTCAAATATATTTCTAAAATAAAGTAATCTTCTTGATGATTTCAGAATGAAAAGTTATTATTTCTCTGTTCCAAGAAATAGTGACGGTGCAATTCAGCTCCATGTTTCAGGCACTTAGTGTGGGATTTTAATTTTTTTTCCTTAATTCAAAGGTCTACTCTTGAGCTTCTAATACTTCTTCATAATGTCTATAACAGGCTCTAGAGAATGTCTCTGCCCTTCTGAAACAGTTCTGGAAGCCAGGTGAAATTTACTAAGAAATCTCAAATGCTACAGCGCACCATCTGTATTCAACTTAATTGAAGCCCTAAATTAAATGTACATACATAAAAATAGCTAAATTCATCTAAATTACTATGCTGGTTAGTGGAGATCTAGGAATTAATTTGTCTAAACATAATTGGTAATGGAATTTGACATGTCAGATGCTATTGAAGACATCTGTGCAGGGTTGTTACTTATGACACAGAAACACTAATTATATCCCTCTGTAACAGTAACTGAAACTACTCAAGGAAGTCTAATACATCTCAGTGCCACTAGACATACTTGTGTCAGCAAATGGGCTCTGCCACAAGTCAGTAAAATCAGTGGAAACTGAAGAGACAGACAACTAACCAGATGTGTCTGCATCAAGATAAACTGATCCCTATCTCCAGGCTATAGACTGCAGTTAGCACCTGAGGGAGGCCAGGGGAGGTGTTTTTTCTCTCGGGATTAGCAGCTAGAGCTTTGTGAATGCAGCCACTCTCTTTTGCTTTGGAAAGTGAACAAGCCTCAGGTGAGACATTATGAGAAATTAATTTGGGCTACAGTGAGTAATAGAAGATAACACTGATGAACAGTTTTATGAGTTCTTACAGTAGAAATATTAAATAATAATACATGGATCATTAGATGTTAGAGGTAGTGTAGAGTGAAGTAGAGTAGGAGCTCCAAGAATAAAAATAAGGAAATTTAGCCAACAACTTGGGTATTTAATTCTTCCTGCATATGATCTAGAAGGTTTAATCCTACATATATCTTATTATCTTACTTATACCAATTGTTACCTTATTATATTAAATGCTGATTGTGCAGGGTATATACAAGCAACTGATTTGGAACCATAATACGTAATAATTTTTCATGCAAGATTTTGTCACTGATGGAGAAATTCCCTGGACATTTTAGGTATGTCATGTATTATTCTTAGTTCTTTGAATATACAGAAGATGAAGAGGGTTAAGACTATCTCAGGACAGAGGTGTCAACTGAGAAAGGTATTAATTGAGAAAGATAAGAATAATGAGAGAAGTATGAGTTATTCTCCATTGCGCCTGTAAATATTTTCAAAACTTTCCTGCAAACTAACCCACAAATTATTATTTTATAGATTAAAATATTAAATTAATTCATTAATGCAATATTCAGAATTAACTGTGGAAAGAATGAAGCATAAAGAAGTGGGAAATCCATTGCTACCAGGTGATCAGCCAGATGGTAAGTACTTGTCACAGTGGGACAGGAAGAAAAGATGCAACAGTGCACTCATGTGGGGGATTTTGACCTCTGTAAATTAGGACACTAATTTTACAGACTTAAAAACTTGGTAGTTTTTGGATTTGTGGGGGGTTTTTTTTGTTTGTTTTATTTTTCCTAAGTAAAAGAATCAGTAATTTACTATTATTATTATTATTATTATTATTATTATTATTAATGAGGAAAAAAGCCATAATACATTTTCAAAAATTGAATTCTGCTTCTGGACGAGATGGAGAATCACCTTTATGGATTAAATCATATATCTGAATGTTCCAGGAAGTATTTTCTAAAGAAATATACTTTTATATTTGTCAGTAATGTTAAAGAATAAAGATGGAATGAAACAGTCTAACTGACAAAACCTGAATCATATTCGTAAGTTAGCAATATTTTCTAAAATCTCATAATAGCAACTATCACCAAAATATATGCCTGAATTTCAAGAGATAATACCTAGTTACAGAAGGTGTAGTGGAAGTAGTATATTGAGTTACCTCTAGATGTCTATATATGCTTCACTGCCATAAATACTGTTAGAAGAAATGAGGAGCTGTAGACCAGAAGCCCAGACAATCGATGTCTGAAGCCCATTAAATTTAGGAGCCAAATATACGTCCTCAGGAGTTGAGGGCTTAGAGCAGCAATGATTAAGCAATTTAATTTGAGTTTTCTGTAATGCCCATGAGAAGCTTAATAGGAAGAACTTATTTGCATTCTCCTCCCTGGTGAGCTGCAAACATTTGTTATAAGTGATATAAATAAATCTCATCACAACTTCACACTGATTTCATTTTTCACCCTGAACTGTCTTCTCATCTGTCAATTGCATTGGATCAAGGAACACTGACATCACAATTTTAGACAGTTCCTCTGTGTGTTTGCAATAAAGAAATTGTCAGTGTTACCCACCCTTATTTTCTCTCCCTATTTGGCATTGTAAAACCAATAAATATTTGTATTTAAAGGTAATTTTGGGAGAACAAAACAAAAATATAATAATCTAAAATTATACACTAATAACAAAAAGCTTTTGAAAATGCAGATTACCTTAATTGTGGTCATTTTATGGAAAATAAGTTATAATAAGAAACAAGTAATCCATTCTAGATTTAAACTTAATTAAATTAACAGAGTTTAATCTCTGTGTAAATTTCAGTAAGAAGACTGACATAAGCCTACTTGAACATGTTCATGAAGCTAGTACCTGTGAAAAGTTCCTGAGTGAAATATCGGCAAAGATATATTCAAAGATAAATGATGGCAACGGACCAACTCTAAACTTTCTTTTAAAATACAGAGGCATCTTTCCAATCCTTGCTGTATATCTTCTCATATGTTTGTCCAAGCCTTCATTTAACTAAATTCTGCCTACATTCCTATTTCTATTTATTTCCATTTTAATTCCCCTTTTTCTTACATTTTCCATTCATCTGCCAAGTACTTCTTTCCTCAGAAATAACTACATATGTTACTAAACAGAAGGGATAGAGTGGGATTCTCCCAGTGAGGCTAGGAAGAAGTAGATAGAAATCTTACAATTCTTGTGAGAACAAGAACCTTCTTGACCTGCTTGCACAAGATAAAGATTAGGATGAGGAGGGGTGTATTTATGAAAATAGGCATAATCCAGTGAATCAAGTCTTTCATACAGTTTTCCTTTGAACTGCTTGACAGCTCCATTTTATTTGATTTTTGGAATATTTTATTCTATTCTTTCACGGAAATTTTAGAGTTTTTTCTACATCATGTGGAGAGAAAGAGAAGCTGAGACTGCATCTTTGTTGCTGGTAAACAGCTTGACCAGCCTGAACTATTGAGAAATAACTGTATAGTGATTATGCAAATCAGATAAGCTCAACCAATGAGCGTGCAGA